CAAGCTGTAGTTTTTGTATTGAAATGCTACTTTTAAGCAGAAGGGATGCAAGCAGCCTGTGGATGATGGTCTCAGTACACAGAGGCCACTTTAATGTGGAATGCGAAGCAGGATCATATGATTTTAAAATTTAAAAAGTCAGTCTGACAAGTGGGGTACATATTACTGTACGGAATAGTACTGTATCAATATCAAGGGCGGTGTATGTGCCTGTAGTTTAAGAGCAAATACATATGCTGGAAGAGCACTGTAATGTGTGAAAAGGAAAATGGAGACAAGTGAGATTGGACTCCAACCAGCCAGGAAGTACCATCACTAGCAGTCCAAGGAGTCAGTCAGATCACAGTCAGGTAGTTGGTCTGGGAATCAGCTCCCTTCCAGCCTCGACTGGGCCATGGTTGGTTGTTCAGGGCATCTCGCAACTTCATTACGGGGTAGATTGGGGTTAGTCAGGGGAATCTTGCAAAATCTGCCCAGAATATAGGCCATGGTTAGTCGGTGGTTGGATCATTCATAAACCAGCAGATTTTTAAGGGTCTGTCCATGGTTTCATTGAGGCTGAAGTCTAGTGATTGGCCTGCTTGCAATCACTGCAAGAGACAAATTTCTTTCACAATAAATCAAATTGGAAATTGAACTGCTTTACTAAGACAACAAGGTGCAGGGCTGGATGAACACAGCAGGCCAAGCAGCATCATAGGAGCAGAGAGGCTGACGTTTCGGGCCTAGACCCTTCATCAGAAAAGGGGAAGGGGGTTCCGAAATAAATAGGGAGAGAGTGGGAGGCGGATAGAAGAGGGATAGAGGAGAGGAAACAAACGGGTCGAAGAGGCGGGGATGGAGCTAGTAAAGGTGAGTGTAGGTAGGGAGTTAGGAAGGGGATAGGTCAGTCCAGGGAGGACGGACAGGTCAAGGGGGCGGGATGAGGTTGGTCGGTAGGAGATGGAGGTGCGGCTTGAGGTGGGAGGAGGGGATAGGTGGGAGGAAGAACAGGTTAGGGAGGCAGGGACGAGCTGGACTGGTTTTGGGATGCGGTAGGGGGAGGGGAGATTTTGAAACTTGTGAAATCCACATTGATACCATTGGGCTGCAGGGTTCCCAAGCGGAATATGAGTTGCTGTTCCTGCAACCTTCGGGTGGCATCGTTGTGGCACTGCAGGAGGCCCAGGATGGACATGTCGTCTGAGGAATGGGAGGGGGAGTTGAAATGGTTCGCGACTGGGAGGTGCAGTTGTTTATTGCGAACCGAGC